ATTACATGACGTTCCAACGAAAATAACAGCAGGGATTGCGGGCGCGAGCGGAAGGCGAGGGCACCGCAATCCCTGCTGTTATTTTCGTTGGAACGTCATGTAATATTTTCGTTTTGTCAATTTATTCGCCATATTTGAACAAAGACCAACAATCGTTCGAAGCAATCATTCTGAGCATGTATAAGCGCTCTGTTTGAAACTATTCAGTGCAAAAGCAAGCTCTTATGATTTATACAAGTAAGTGCAATAATTTAAATATATTACGTTTAATGTTTTATTCATATTACTTTTAATTAATGTTTTATTCATATTCATAACACAGTTCTTAGTTGGACCCCCTGTGGATTGATGAGTTATCTTGTTGATTTATAATATATCATGTGGAATGTTGTAAAATAATACTATACTACTATCTAGTTTAAGGTTTTACTATGCATATGACTTTGAAAACTAGTATAACTATAAGAATATGAATCTACAAAAGTCAAAATTCTGTAGGCCTACCTTAAAAAATATTCGGTGTTCGCTTCCTGAAGGTCAATATTCAATGAATATCATTTTAATAATACTTGTTGTCAACCTTGTCTTTGAATTTTTTTAACAGCTGAATGAACACGTGAGACAACTAATCGTCAGAGATATAGAGTTGACAAGAATAGTCTATATATAGGCCTCTAAAACTAAGTAGATATAAGTAATCATAATACCTGATATAATCGGTCAGTGAAAAGCCCCAATGGCGAGTTGCAGTATGTACATGTATAGCTTAAAACATGCATTACATATTACATTTAATAGGTATATAAGTTATAAATTATACATCGTACATGAGAAATTCAAGGTTGTATATCATATAATAGCATGATAATATGTAATCCATTGATTGTTGGAGATATAAACTGTGATTTCGCTAAAGCAGAGCCAGATTCCCATACGCGGAGACTCCAACCACAGAATAAAGATCCACACAGAAGGGCGCACTGCCCGCCATCTTCCTAGCCAGTCGATTACTTTTTCTGGCCGAAAACGCGCTGTATTGGCTGGAGGCCCCGCCTTCTGGCCGGTCAACTGCATATTTTTGCATAAAAAATAGGCTACACGTGGCACCGCTGAGTGGCCCTTCTGGTACTGATCTTTATTCTGTGCTCCAACTGTCATGCTCTCTATATCAGACTAGTTAATTATTGAGCCAACAAGGGTGACCGGGGGGTCGGCAACTTTAATCGACCTGTTTTTAACAAACAAATCAGAAAATATATATTCTGGTGTGATCCATCTTGGAATATTGGATCATAGTATGATTTTCGCAGTTAAAAGTATAACAGTACCAAAATAAAACAGGCAGCCACACCACTAGAGAAAGCCGTGACTATAAAAATTTCGTTGAAAGTGATTTTATTAATTATATCAATAATTCAGTTATCGTAGATAATAAGCTAATAGCTGATGCCTTTAATGAATATTTCGTACAAATTGGCCCTAAGCTAGCGGCTGAAGTGTGTGATCCAACCAGTCAATCTACAAACAGCTCGGACACCCAAGATTGTTCCAACACGGATATCTTGACCCACGCTTTGTTTTTTCTCAAATTAACCAAATCAATGTTGCCACAAGTTTTTAAGGCAAGTTTAAGGCAAGCTACGGGTATGGATACATACCTGCAAAAATACTTAAAATATCAGCTGATATATAATAGCACCATCATTAACTGCCATTTTCAACTTATCTCTTAATTAATTCATGTACTTATATTGATGCATGGAAAAAGGCTAGGATAACAGCAAACTTTAAATCTGTAGATAGGCAAAAATGTCATAATTACCGACCTATCTCAATTCTACCGATAATAAGTAAGATAGTTGAGAAAAAGTCTTTGAATCTGAATGTGAGACCAGTGGTTAGAGAATATGGATAATGGCTAATGTATGGATAATTTATTTCTTGACATTAGAAAAGCTTTTGACTCAATCGACGACCACTCCATTCTACCAAAAAAGATGAATGAGCCGTTTGGAATTTATGGGCCTGAACTAAATTAAATCGTTCGAATCTTATCTAACAAAGAGACAACAAGTGTGTTTTGTCAATGGTCATACATCGTCTCCTAGACAATAACATGTGGAGTCCCACAGGCTCAATTCTTGGCCCACTATTATTTTTACAATTTTACTATATATTAATGATATACCAAAATGTTTAAAATCTACAACCCCTTGCCTCTATGCTGACGATACTGAAATTTTTGCATCATCATTTGATTATGATACACTTGTTAAAAACCTAAATGATGATCTAAAAAATATTCACACTTGGCTTACCAAAAATCGGCGGTTACAATACCATCCAACCAAAACAAATGTTCATTGAATCATCATACAATTTAAAAAATAGGATTGGTGAAGCTACTGTATTTTTTGGCGACAAACCAGTACCATTAACTCATTCTTATGAAAGCTTAGGGGTAGAAATTGATGAAAATTTGAGCTGGGGAAAACGTATTGATAAATGCACTACAAACTACTGTATATATAAAGCACTAGTGCAGCCATATTTTAACTATTGTTCCACCCTATTGTTCCACCCTATTGCGCAGCAAGGGTAATAACTCGTGCCACTTACGATGTAAGGTCACTTGACATTCTTAATAGAAGAAATAAATCCAAGGTTGTGGGTATGTACAAAATGCTAAATGACCACGCTGCCCCGGGTATAAAAGAATTTTTTTACAAAAGGAATGTGACACAAAATACCTACAAGTACAATCTCAAAAATAGCGAAAATGATTTAACTCTTCCAAAACCAAGAACAGAATATCCAAGAAGAAGCTTTAAGTATAGCGGCGGTATGTTATGGAATGACCTTTCGTCTGCAGCTATATCGGCGGATACTCTCGATTGCTTCAAAAAAGAGATAGGTGCAAGCGAGAGGAAGATTCTGTGCTATATGCGCTAAACTAACTTTTGCATATAGTTGTATATAGTATATGTTTTTAAATTGTAACTTTTTAACTTAATTATTTCCTTTGTATTGTTTGTGTGACGTCCCTCGTGGAAATCAGCACTATGCTGACGAGCCAAGCGTGTTTAAATAAAGTTTTTACCTACCTACCTTACCTACCACTGATCTAAAAAAACTAGGACTGGGTGGAACATCATTTTGAATTAAGGCAGAATAATTTTTTGAACCTGGTCAACTCGGGAAAATTCTGAAACACTGTGGTAAGAGTAACGCCATTTTCAGCACTCTTGGCAATTTTGACCAATGATTGAGGCTATTCTTTCGAGGGCAGAATTTGACTGGAGGGTCGAATCCGATCCCTACGGCTACGGGGAATACTGCTCACCCAGTCATATGGTTAAAAGGGCGGTGCCAATTTTCTTCCAGAACTTTAGCTAACAACTGACATCTAAAATACTCCCACAGACAAATTTGGCTATAGAACGTTTGTTTATACCTAATTTACAACTTTACAACTTTAGATAACTCACATGGGCACTATCGGAAATGTTAGATGGTCTACCATTATAAAGGTTACAGGATAACCTTCTTGGCGTTTTGCGGAAAATCGCTACTGCGCGGGCAAAATCAGTCCGATTTTCATCAAATTTTTACCAAATGTTCGCCAATTCATGAAAAATATAGTAAAATTGTAAAATTGACGAACAATAAGATAATGTAAGAATTATTCAGGAAAATCTTAAATCGCGGTACCTTTACGCTTTTGAGTCATGTTCTTGCTGGTTTTAAGATATATTTATGAAAATATCATTTTTATACAGTAAAATAGTTGTTCTAACAAATAGTGTTCGGAAATTTTTGTTTATTTCGTGATTCCGCTGATATGGCGATTTCTTTGACGACTGAAATATATTTCTGAATCGTTTGTGTAAATTACTCCTTGGCTTATTATTAAAATATCCAAAATTAGAAAAAAGCCGAACACAAATTTTGTACTGTGTGAAAATTTGAGAAAAATTCGTTAAAACCCGCAGGAGAACAACTCGTTTGAAAATCGGAAACTGCCATAAAATTCTGATGGAGAAAATTGAATTATTTTGAATACTACATTTTCAATGTTTTTCATATTGCAGCGAAATCTATTGTATATATTAAATAACTCTGCAGCAAGTTTTCAACCTTTTCCATTCAAAGTTGGCCGTCAGATAATAGAACTAGTCTAATGCTTTCATGGAAACCACTAAAAAAGTTTAGGCAAAATTAACACTCAAAGGTGTTCTGCAACCTTAAAAGGGAACAATGAATAAAGGGAAAAAACTGTAACTGTAATGGGGGGGGGGGGTGAATAGGGGTATACAAAACCGCCGATCCGCCCAAATTTGAAGCAAAATCCGCGATCCGAGCCACAATATTAGATAAATCCGCAATCTGCTGTATTAATAAGATCCGAAATCCGTGTAAAACATTCGCCAGATCCGAAATCCGGACAATTTTTTCTGTGAAATCCGACGATCCGAAAACCTATTCAACCCCCCCCCCCCAGTAAGAGCAGATTTGTATGTGTTTATCGCCAAATATCGCACAATTTACCAAGCATTTTTACCTCAATGTTGTCTATTAACACATTTTTGAGGGCGCTCCAAAATAATGCTGATGTCAGCAATTTTGATCTTTTCAATGGGAATTAAATTCAAAATTTTGGCGGAATGTTTGTAGTAATGACAGGCAAAACATATGAAACACCCAGTTTTGTGACTCTTGCTCAAATTTTTTCTGATTTCAAGTGTAACTCAAGAATTGTGTGGTGTTCATCTGGGATTTCAATTTGTTCCCCATTACCGCGCTCCCAAATTTCATCTTCGATGCCCCCTTTAGTGTTATATATTCATAATCTCTATGCTTTTTCTTTCTATCCACCCGCATCTAAGGAAGGGAAAACGGGGCCCCGATACTCAGCTGGTAAGATATACTTAGCCTTAAGATAAAGTACATAATATTAATGATTTGTTCAACTTCTTTTCAACGCAGATAAGGAGGCACCATCACTTTTGGATACAGTTCAAGATAGCAGAGCCTCTGCCAGTGACAGCAAGACTGACGTACAGGCTTCCAGCACAAATTAGAAAACTCTGAGACGAAATAAAAAACAAACAATATGTACTTTTATTAATGTTAATCAATTCCACAAAAGTTGTGTCGTTTTCATGTTTATCAACTTTCAAGATATGTTCAATTAGCAATGCAATCATGTCAAACCGGCCTAAAGTGTACTGAATCATTAAAACGTGCAATTTACTTTTAAACTCTTACGCAGTTATTCTATTTCACAACAAACACTATGTTCATTTGTATATACTAAATTCTAAATAATTATTCATTTACATATAATTTTATAAATTCAATCTATTCTTAGTATCAGAAACAATTATATCTATAGGGTGGCGTAAGAGGGGGCAGGGGGTACAGCAACTTGTCGGGGAGGCTAGCCCCCACCCCCTTCCCCCTGTCAAGGAAAAATTAGTATTTTGTCGGGGAAAAGATTGTTAAACAGACTGTTGAAGACATTTGTATTCTAGCGTATGCATGATATCCTCAAGATGGTGGATTGGATACACCGTTTCACAGACTCAAAATTCAAAAAAAAAATTGAGGAAGCGTGCCTTTCCCTTCCCCCCCCCCCCCCCTCCCGGAAAAGGTTTTTGCCTGTACAATCTTAGCCCCCTGTCGGGGACCTTAGCTCCTTTGTCGGGAAATTTTTTGCGCCACCACAAATTATGTACTGTTATAATTAAGCATTTCAAGACTAAAAATCAGTCAAGTAAACCTCCATGGAAGTACACTGACTCCTTCCATTTTCATAACTGATGTTATTTTTTGAAGACCCAGTTGTCATCGTTCTGTTATTCAATTACCTCCACTTTAATTTGCCCACTAGTTTCATTGGAACTGTAAACTTTCAAAACTCGTTTCAGTTTTGACTTCAAGGCAATGGCGTTCGCCGCTTTTTGTTCGTCGCTATTCTTTTTCCAAACGAAGTCGAAAATAATCGGTAATGTAGTGGCGGCCATAGAACCGATTATTTGAACACTGCTTGTGATACCGGATTTCTCGGACAATGACATCATTGTGTATAAAAAGTAGGCGAAGACTGTAACAAAGAATATTCCCTGAAAATAGTAAAACAGAACTCGATGGTACGGCAGGAACGTTTTCCTGACTTTATCATACAGTTGTTTGGGAATAATTGGTTCTCCATCACTATTTAATTTTATAACATGAGGCTGAGTTTCAGCATCGTTAGCGCTTTCATTTCTTTCCCCTCCAGAGTTAGCGAGTGCATGTTGAACAGGTGTACTTTCTTTGCAAACTTCGTAAATGTTCGTAATTAGTACCAAGTATTTTGTTTCGACAGAAGACTTCCAATTAGTCCACGAATAAAACAAGATGGTAGAAAGTGGCAAAAAATAATTAATGTATGTTTCTCCGTTCAGAAACAGACCAATGGTAAATAACAACGTAGAATCAAAGAAGTACATGGAAGAATACGTGCATGAGTAGCCCGAAGACAGAGACGCCATAAATAAAACGGATTGCATTTGTTACTTCTGTACACCGTTTTAGCGAATTTTTTAGTTTATAAAATATCCAAATACATTTAAAGAAATACAATAACGCAAGAACACATGATAACGGGAAAGCGATTACAAGATAGAAAAGGATTAAAATAAAAATAGATATAGGGTACTTGCATATTTCAACTACTGAACATCCGATTGTTTTCGAGTGATGTTGTGGAGAATATTCAACATCATTTTGAAACTCGTTTCCATATTGCTGTTCCTGTGAATTTATTAGCACAGTACTGTCTGTCAATTCAGTTGACTCTCTATTTAATAATCCAGTACGCTCTGTCACTTCAGTTGACTCTCTATTTGGTAATCCAATACGCTCTTTCCTTTCAGTTGACTCTCTATTTAAATTTAACTTTAAGTTATTTTTGAAACTTGTCCATTCCTGACTGGCCTTCCACCACAATAATGGTAATGTAAATGGATAAGTAATAACCTCTAATGCGGAATTTCCAAAGCCATTCATAGCCAAATCAGAACGTCGAAATACGCGATTGCTGAATATATCGAAAATCATAAAAGGAAACGTCCATACACCTAGGAAGATATACCAGAGTAAAGTACATATAGTTAGACCAATATTCCGTATAGGTAAACATGTCACAACTACAAAAGTTACAATGAACAGTTTCCTTGCAAAAGACTTTACTGGACCATGCCCTTCAATAAATATCATATGAAATATGTGCGAAAGTGCCATTGGACTACCGGAAATCACGTAGTGGTCACTTTCCTTAGACTGAGTTAAATAGTCTACCATTAAAGGGAACGCTAAATAAAAGGAAAAACCTGTAACTGTAATAATGGGATAAAAATGTGCCACAAATGACGAATAGCTAGAGCAGATTCGTATTTGTTTATCTCCAAATATCCCACAACAATTTACTGCGAGGTTGTGAGTGCGACACAACTGATAATCGGTGTTATCATCACTGACACGATAAAGCTGATGCAGAAGGAGATCGAAAATGACATGATTCAATGTATTGTTTTCCGACAACAAACACCTTTCGTTTTCTTCAGAGACAACAATGTTCACATCATGAAACCCTCTCTTCAATGTAAATTGTGGCAGAAATGAAATCAGAGTCTGTAGGTTTCTTGTTTGAAGCATTAACGAGTATAATGTACGACCCATTTCGTTTGCCCATTGCATGTCCGTTGGGAGTCGAGTTTCATTCATGGGAATCATATAGTATCATTGACCGATTCAATCCAGACATTTAGTTTTATTGCATTCGTTTTGGTATTTTGCATTAATTTTAAGACACTTTTAAGTAATGATTCTAAAATGTGAAAATGGCAAGCAGTCGAAGTGTTGCTCGAGTTTGTCGCAACCCTTTTTGCGATGGATCCAATCTCATCGTTTCTGGAAACCTCTGAGTCAGCCGATTCGGAGATTTCTGGCAAACACGCAATTAGAAGCGGTATTAATATGAATACTTTGGCAAACAAAGTCATCTTTACAAGCGGCGAATTCTAGTCACACTTCTTGGAAAAACGTT